GGAGATCCCGCCGGCGCCGCCCTTGGCCGAGCGGCTGGCCGCGTTGAAGCCGCCGCCCAAGGTGGAGGAGGGCGAGCAGCTCGACCCCGTGCCCTGCGGTGCTGGAGTCGCGCATGACGCCGGGCCACCGCTGCCCAGCGGTATCTCGCTGCACACGCTGCAGAAGCAGACGCGCGGCAATACCGTCGTGCTGCAGATGCAGCTGCGCTGGGGCGAGCGCGACGCCACCTTCGCGCGCAACGGCACCGGCATGGTCGGCTCAGCTGATGAACGAGGGCAGTGCCGGCTACACCAAGCAGCAGTTGCAGGACGCCCTCATCAAGCTGCGCGCCAGCCTCAACGTCTCCAGCTACGACCAGGGCGCCACCATCTACCTCAGCGCCGAGCGCGACACGCTGCTGCCCGGCGCTGCGCGTGGCGGCCGATGCGCTGCGCCATCCGCTGTTCCCGCAGGACGCGTTCGACCGCGAGATCCGCGCGGCCATCGCCGGTGTCGAAGCCTCGCGCCAGGAGCCCGGCGTGCTGCGCCAGGAAGCCACGCGCGGCCACTACAACACAGGCCCGCGGCGTGACGCCTGGGCCGATCCCGACTACGTGATGGGCGTGGACGAGCGCATCGCCAACCTGAAGGGCGACGACGCTGGACGACGTGAAGCGCTTTCACGCCGACTACTGGTCGCGCGAACGACGCGCAGGTCAGCGTCGTCGGCGCGCTGCCGGACGGCCTGGCCACGGAGGTGGAGCAGCTCTTCGGCGACTGGAAGAAGCCCGCGGCGCCGAAGTTCGTGCGCCACATCTCGCAGCACCTGGCCGTGCCGCCGGCACGCTTCGACGCCATCGCGCGCGACAAGGCCAACGCCATCGTGCGCCTGCACCAGACGCTGCCGCTGAACAGCGAAGGACCGCCGACTACGCGGCGCTGGAACTGGCCGTGCATATCTTCGGCGGCGGCGGGCTGGAGAGCCGGCTGTCCGAGCGCGTGCGCCAGAAGGAAGGCCTGACCTATGGCATCGGCGCGTCGCTGGGCGCCAGCTACTGGGGCACGGCCGGCAGCTTCGCCATCCAGGCCAGCTACGCGCCGGACAAGCGTGATCGCGTGATCGCCGTCGTGCAAGGAAGAAGTGGCCCGCATGGCCGCCCGAGGGCGTGACCGCCGGCCGGAGCTGGCGCGTGCCAAGAAGGACATCCTCGAAGGCCGCAAGCAGGGCCGTGCCGACCCCGGCGCATTGACCGGCGGCCTCACCAGCCTGGCCGAGCGCGGCGAGACCTGGGCGGCGGCGCAGAAGCGTGACGACGCGTTGGCGGCCGTGACGGTGGAGCAGGCCAATGCGGCCTGGCGC